GATGTCCAGCGTCCTCCAAACCCTTCCCCGCGGCGCGTGGCCACCTCCATCCCACCTCCCACCACAGGGACTATGCCCAGCCCTCGCCATGGCACCCCTTGGCCATGGGGCAGCCTGAGATCCCCCCCACCCCCCAGCCCCGCTTCGGAGCCCCCCCAAAAATGGGGAGCTGGGCTGGTATTAAGCAGAGGGACCCTCACCTCGCCTGCAGCCGCCGCGTCGGCGGGAGGGAGCCGGGAGGATGGGGGTCTGTCCCGCACACCTCGCCTCCTCGCGCCCCTTTCTGCTGCCTGCTGGGATGGAGCCTCCTCCTTCTCCTTCTCCACCTCCTCCTCCTCCTTCTCCTCCTCCTCCTCCTCCTGCGCCGCAGCCTGGGACCAGCTTGTTCTCATTAGGGCCGGTTTGGGGAGGGAGCGTGGGAGGCCGGCGAGGGGTAAGCGGCCCCCCAAGCCCCCTCCCATGCTCCAAAAATCCAGCTGGGGGGCTGGGTGGGCTTCTGGGCCTCTTGTCCCACCAGCAAAAAGGAGACCCCCTTGGTGCCCCCCCCATCCTCCCAACAGCACCGCTGGCCGGGGATGATTTTGGGGGTGCAAGTGGGGAAGGGGGTGGCAGGAGAGTTTGTTGCAAGGGTGAGTTTGCCCACGAGGATGGAAGTAGAAACTCCATCCCACAGCCACATGGCTGAGCTGCCATGGTGGGACGGGGATGCTGGCACCCCCAAAATGCCTCCCAGTGATACCGTGCCAGGACCCCCCCACCCGGATGCCTTTTTCTGCTTGCCTGGGTGCCAGACCCCAGCCCAGGACCAGATCTTGTCCCCAAGCCCAGCCCTGATGGCCCAAATCCTCCTGCCCTGCCTGGGGACAGGCACGAGCCGGTGGGACACGGCCACTGAGGCCACGCAGCGCCCAGGGGACGGGGAGGGTGTGGGGGTACCAATAATGCTTGGGGCCCGACATTATTGTAGGGTGGCAGAGTGGCACGGGGGCAAACAGAGCTTGAGGTCCCCCCCTGCCTTGATTTTGGGAGACATTTCCGAAGTTCCCTGGGCTGGAAATGGTCCTGCACAGGCACCTCTGCCTTGGGGTGCAGGCAGGGGTGCAGGCAGGGATTTGGGCAGGGATGTGGGCAGGGATTTGGGCAGGGATGCAGACAACCACCCCTGAGGTTCTCAATGCCAATGTGGCAACGATGGCTGCACAGCTCCCCCGGGGAAGAGCCTCCAGGATGGGGGGGGGGTCTGGGGACATCTCCTGTGCCCCCCACCCCCCAGCAGTGCTCTGCCCAGCCCCACCATGGTCCCCTCCACCCGGGGCTGAAGTTGCTCAAGAGGCTGCAGCCGCTGGCGGGTGGTGACCTCATCCTCTTGCTATTCGCCTCCTCGTGGCTCCCCCCGGGGTAGGGGGGGGACGACCCAGCCAAATTCCCCCCCCCAAAAAAAGCCATCCCCGGCAGCTGGGGACTGTGACCAGCACGGGGCTGTGGGGGGCAAGGGAGCCTGTCCCCATGGCCACCGGGAAGCCGGAGGGGAACCCGGCGCCGTTTGGGTTTCTCCCGGCGTCGCCGAACGTCATCGTGGCTCCCAAAAATAACGGGTCCCTCCGGCTGTCGGCGGCCGGCGGCTCCGCGCAGCTGCTGGGGAGGCTTTTCCCGGCCTTAAGTGATCAGGGCTGAAATCGTAGAGGGGAAGGGGGAAAGGTGAGGGGAGGCTGGGGCAGGGGGTGCGAGGGATGGTCACGCTGCCCGGCCGAGTGTGCCTGGAGGAGCACCAGCAGCATCACAACTCGCTCCTGCAGCCCGGCCAGGGGTGGATCTGCAGATCCCTTCTGTGTGCCCACCCTGGCCAGGGTCCTCATCCTTCTTTAGCCGGTGTCCCCATCCTGTCCTGGCCAGGGTCCCCAGCACTCCTTGTCCAAGGTCCCCATTCAGTCCTTGGCCAGGGTCTCTGTCCCACCCTGGGGACAAGGGTTCCTATCCCTCTTTAGCCAGAATCCCTGTCACCCTTCATGCAGGGTCCCTGTCCCTCCCTGGCTGGGGTCCCCATCTCCCCATGGCCACCAACCCCATCCTTCCTCATCCAGAGACCCCTTCATTCCTTGCCCAGGGTCCCCATCACTCCTTGTCCAGGGTCTCCACCCCTCCCTGGCCGGGGTCCCCACCTCTCCATGGACACCATCCCCATCCAGAGACCCCTTCATTCCCTGCCCAGGGTCCCCATCCCATCCTGGCCAGCACCCCCATCCCTCCTCCTCCATGGTCCCCACCCTTCCCAAGCCATCCTTCCTCATCCAGAGACCCCTTCATTCATTGTCCAGGGCCCCCATCTCCCCATGGCCACCATCCCCATCCTTCCTCATCCAGAGACCCCTTCATTCCTTGCCCAGGGTCCCCATCACTCCTTGTCCAGGGTCTCCACCCCTCCCTGGCCGGGGTCCCCACCTCTCCATGGACACCATCCCCATCCAGAGACCCCTTCATTCCCTGCCCAGGGTCCCCATCCCATCCTGGCCAGCACCCCCATCCCTCCTCCTCCATGGTCCCCACCCTTCCCAAGCCACAGTCCCTCCCGCCCCGACCCGGGATCCCCGTCCCTGCCCCGGGCTCTTGCTCGGGGCCGGGCAGCCCCCGGTGCCAGCACCCACCGGCCATTACGATGCCGTTTTTGCCTGCGGCCGGGGAGGGCTGTGCCCCCGGGCCCCGGGCAGGGCTGCGCCGCCCCGGCCCCGCTGTGTAATTTGGGGTGGCTGGAAGGCGGGGGGACCCGCAGGGCTGGGCTCCGCGGCAGGGCCGGCCCGAGGGAACCTGCAATTTGCCACATTTCGGCCCTGCCCGGCTTGTAATTTGCTCGACTGGGCTGCGCTGATTTGCTGTGCCAGCGGAATAGCCGGGGGGAGGGAGAGACACACACACACACACACACACACACACACACAGATCCTGCGGAGCTGCACCGGGGGCGTGCAGAGCACCGTGCACAGCCCCCTGCCCCCCACAGCCCCCTG